TTTTCTTTTTTTTTTTTTTTTTTTGGCCCTCGCCCCCTTTCCCTCGACACAGACACAGATACAGATACAGATACAGATACGGTACGATACAACACAAGGTAAACGAACGGCTCAAGAAAGGCTCGAGGAAGGAAAGCCAGAAATTGGGTGGTTTCCTTCTTGCTTGGGCTAGACTAGACTAGACTAGATGAGAGTGGACTGTTGTGGACGAGAGTGGACTGTTGTGGATGAGAGTAGACTGTTGGTTGTGTTTCGGAAAAAAAAAAAAAGAGGTGGGGGGGGAGGGGAACGCTCGCTTCGAGAAACTCGAGCTTCACGTGCGGATAGGGGGTTGGAAAAGGATAGGATAGGGACGAGAGAGAAATGGAGAGGGGACAACATTAAAGAAAGAGGAGAGAAGAGAGATGGGAGATGGGAGATGGGAGATGGGAGATGGGAGATGGGCTGGCCAGGGCATGCATGTACCGTGCATTACTAAACTAACTATCCACCTACTCTCCCATACACGAAAAAGAAGAGAAGAGAAGAGAAAGAACGCCTGCTGTGGTGGTTTTTGCGGTACAGTGTTCCCTACTAAGCGTCGTTAACCCCAAACTCCAGTACCCGCCCATCCACCCCATACGTATGCATTGCTTTGCTGCCCACAAGGCCTAAAGCTGTGAAGCTGTAGTGAAAGGAAAAAAAATTCAGCATGAAGAAATTCTTCTGGTGATCCTGAGACTCATCTTCTCCTGCTCGCTATCGCTGGCCCCCGACATCCCCCTCACTCCTCGAGGTCCTGCGCCCTACTCCCCTTGCTCGGACTCCTGTCCTTGATATCCCTTGCTCGGGCTCCGGTTTCCCTTACTCGGACTGCGCTGTCCCGGGCCGGGCGTCTGGCTTGGCATGATTGGGAGGTGCGTCTGCGCGCCGTACAAATCGTAGCCGAGACTATTGTGCTGCGGTGTCTGCGGTAACGCGCCCCAGTGGAACCGCTGCTGGGTTTGCGGAGGAGGGAAGTAAGGGTTTTGCTGTGGCATAGACATGGGATGGTGCTGGTTTTTGGAGCGGAGTTGGCTAAAGGCGTAGTTGTTTCCCAGAGTGTACACTGCGACTATAATGACGACGAAGATCTAGGGGTGAGTGTTAGCAACGTGTAAGAATCCCTGGCAAGGATGATAAATGTTTCGTGAGAATATTGGAAAGGGCAGAGCGGAGATATACCATAGCTTTATAACTTATCGGCTCAATAAAGCTATTGAAGATCTGCGCATACGTTTGCGCGCCGACCTGCGCCCGTCCAATGCTTTTCGGATCCCGATTCATGCAGAGTTCCCATTCTTTGCATGTGTGTTCCAGCGCTGGTACACGCTGATCGGCACCGCACCGGTTGATCACGTAGTCTTGGGCGCACTTTGCGATACCGGCCATCAAAATCCCTCGTTCTTTCTGAGAGGCTTTTTCAACATCGGCCTGGACGGTGGTATACATGGTCCAGATCCCGATGATGGTGATAAACACGATGAAAACGTTGAGGCCGAGGTGGGCGTAGTAGGAAAGGATGTTGGGGAGATTGGGGTGATTGTGAATGTAGTCGAATATTGATGCGAAGAAGCCTGGCTGGGGTGTCACTGGTCTCTGCTTTGAAGACTTCGGACCTCTGCTTTTGGGTTGGCTCTCACTGTCCTCTGATTCGTTATCACCATCGTGGTGGTAACCTTTGATTAGTACGTCGGAATCTCGCTCGATCCGCTTTCGCTTTCGCAACTTCTGCGCAATGCCGGCTCCGAATTTGCCCCCTCGTCGGTCTGCCCTTCCAGGACTGCTACCCGCGAATTCAGCGCCATATCTTCCGAATATGGGAGCCGGACGCACAGCACCCAACCCGCTCGCCTGGGTTCTTCGAGGAGGATCGGGTGTGTCTTCGTCTGCGGTATCTGCGGGCGACGACTCGACACCAGACATTTCCGAGAATTGATCTTCGTTGAATGGCTTCCGAGGAGTGGTGAATTGGGGATTACGAAACGGAGGTGCGGGAGCCGATGATGCTCCACCGAAAGATGTATTGGATCCAGATCCAAATCCAAATCCAAATCCGTCTGCAGTCATGTTAGTGATATATGTCCAGCCAGCTTTGCGGAGTTGCTTATGCTCGCTCACCTTGCGGTTGTGGTCGCTTCAAAAAAGGGGAGTTGTGATCGACAGGCGCCTGGCCTGACCATTCAAAGTCCATAGGACTTTCATGTGATCGCTTTGATTGGGGGTCGTTGAACATCTTGGTAGATTTGATTCAACTACAAAAGCAAATGCTGGAGTTGAAGTTGACGTTGAAGTTGAAGTTGAAGTTGAGGTCGGTACTGAAGTCCTGTTGCCGGGTGATTTGTTTACTTTCTACTCCAGAGAACAAGGCTGCCTGCCACTAGTAGCGCTAAACCTTAAAATATTTAGCGGGGCCAGCTAGGCTCGACCTCACGTTCGAACCTTCGGAACACCTCAAGATCTGACCAGAACCCTTTTCAACAAAACCTTTCATCCAGCCTTGCTCTCCCCACTAACTCGACTCTACGGTCTCTCTCGCTGCTACGATGTCTGACGACGAGCGAGACTCGCCGACTGCGCCTGCAGCAAACCCAGATCTCGACATGGACAATGAAGAGAACGAGGTCCCTGACATCTCCGACAACGAATCTGAGCTCTCAGAAGTCGATGAGGCAGAGTTCGCCGAATTCGATCCAGCAACCGTTGCCCTTGAGGATAGACCCCTGGTTGGTATCGATGAAGATGCTGCGCGAACCCTGAAGGCTGGAAAGCGCAAGCGGGCAGATAAGGAGGGCGAGGGCAAGAAGCCAAAGGAAGCAAAGCGCGATAAGAAGAAGCGTGCTCGTCGTGATGATGATGAGGATCCAGATGGACAGGTGATCGATGGAAAGAGAAACAAGAAGCCAAAGGGTGTTAGGTCGGACAGAGAGAAGGCTGACAAGCCGAGAGAGAGACGACCAGCTACGCCAGAGGATGAGACAAATTTGACACCGGAGGAAAGACGACGAAGAGCGCTGGATAAGGCGATGGATGCTGCGTTAAAGAATCCCAACAAGAGAAGACGCAAGAAGGATGAAGTGGTAGGTCCATTCATACGGACTGTCGTGGGATTGTACTCTAACTGTTGCAGGATCTTGAGGAGGCTTTCGATGACGAAATTGCGGCTCTGAAGATTCGAATGGAGCAGGCTTGTGAAGCAGACAACACAGCTCGTGAGAAGGGGCAACCTGCTCTGAACAAGCTCAAGATGCTTCCTGAGGTTGTGGCTCTACTTAACCGAAATACCGTCCAGCATTCGATCGTTGACCCTGATACGAATTTCCTCCAATCCGTCAAATTCTTTCTCGAACCTTTAAATGATGGCAGTCTTCCCGCATACAACATCCAGAGAGACCTGTTCGCAGCTCTCACTAAGCTACCAATCGAGAAGGAGGCCCTGCTTAGTAGCGGGATTGGTAAGGTCGTTCTGTACTACACTAAGAGCAAGAAGCCACAGATCGGAATCAAGCGAACGGCTGAGAGATTGTTGGGAGACTGGTCTAGACCGATCCTCAAGCGCAGTGACGACTATAAGAAGCGCAAGGTTGCTACTAGGGAGTTTGATCACCAGTACGTGACCGTGTTCCTCATCATCCGATTTCATGCTAACATTTCTCACAGAGCTGCTGCCCTCGCGCATCGCCCAGGTGGTACACAATCTTCCCAATTGCCAGCATCGCAGCGTATCATGATGTCGCAGAAAGAGCTCGACCGCGCGCGTGTTCTGGCTCAACCTGGCGTGCAGAGTACCAGAGCTCGGGTCGAGAGCGGTAACACCAGTTACACTATTGCTCCCAAGAGTACTTTCGATGCCAGCAAGGGTCTGGATCCTTCTTCTAGGCCTATTGGTGCTGGTGGTATGGAAGCCTTCAGAAAGATGACCGCAAAACAGGGCAAGAAGCGGTCTTGATTGCGGCGTCATCTTTCCTCCAACAAAATTCTCAGATTGTATTACAAGAGGGTTCATTGCACTCCGGCTCAATGCTATGGTAGGATGGGCTGCGACATCTGACGGAAAATGCATTTCAGCGTGGCGTCTAAGGGTAGAAGACACGATGGCAGGACGGTTAAACTCGAAAAGTCTCTTGCAACACTCTGCTGAGGTACGGCTTTTAAACATACTTGCCAATTTCCAGGGGGTTTGGGCCTTGACTCCAATGATGTGGCATCTGACTGACGGATCTTCTTTTCGTTCCCCTTGTGAGCGCGATAGTCCGAAGCCGATCGTTGGGAGTGGTGATCGGTTTCAAGAATATGTCGAGAACTGCAGCACTTACAATTTCCGTACAAATTTTGAACGGCAGGTAATGGTAGTATTGACATCACCACTCTTCCCAGTACCTTTCCTTGTCCTTTTGCGTCAATGCTCTGTTCATGCTATGGGATTTGTCACAGCGAGGAAGCTCCTCTCTGCAGTGAGACAGAGTGCCTTCGCCAGTGTAGTGCCCGGATGCCATATACTTGATCATCTTGCTCTTCTCTCCATTTATGTGTGTATGCCGTTTAGTGAGTCAATGTTGTCGATCTGTGGCGCAGCATTTTCCCCGTCCAAAGAGGCCTCTCGAGTGTTAGTCAACATACGGCGGAGTCTAAATAGTAATGCTTACACCCCCGCCATGATGAGGCTTATCTCACGTCGGTGGCTCCCTCAATTTTCTTTTTACAATTTCTCGTTGTCCGTAGACAATATTGTGTCGCTGGCTTGAGCATGACAGTGGGGGAGAATCGTTTGGGCCGCTTGACGGTGTTTGACAGTAGATGGATGCACAGCCGCGTCGCAGGAAGTTCCGATCAGGCATAGAGTCAAAGTCAACGTCCATTCGCTATATCCTACGTATATCAAGATTTCCCGCTTGAAGGTCTCTTGGCATAAGTAAGCAAGCCTTGCTTGTAATTTCGTCGGTGAGCTTTGGTATATAGACTTGCTCACAACCCATCATTATTTCCTTTCGCGCAACTCCTTATAAAATCATTGGGTTGACTCAAAAACATCACCCCAGCTTCGAAAATGGCAGCAAACACCCGCTACCACCGTCTGCCTGAAGATACCCGTCCTTCAATGGACTCAATCAACGAGGATTCTCGTCTCATCACTCCTATACCAGACAGCGACGAAAGCCCACCGTCCCCAAACAAGAAAGAGTTCGAGTACCGTTTCCATCCGACCTTCTACTTCCGCTCCGTCGCCGGCATCCTCTTCCTCGCGACCGCCATCCATTTCCTGGTCTCCGGCCGCCAACATAGCGTCGCCGCCGCCGTCTTCAATCTCGTCGCTCTCGGCCGTGAGATCTGGGTCCTGCTGCACCACCTCCTCACGCGTCTCGTGAAGATGCGCGTGAGGATCGAACTGCGAGGCTCCAGATCTTCCATGTCTGTACCGCCAGGGAAGAGGCTGCCGTCGTGGCTGCTGTTGGGTGCGGTGCAAGCTGCCTTGGACTTGCTGATCGTACCGCTGGTTATCAGTCTCGTCACGGCCGTGCCGCACCACAGGACGTACTACCACGGAGGAGGAAGTCTCGCGGCGAAGATTTTGTCGTTCGTTGCGCTGTAAGCTAGCCATATCCCCTTCTTTGTTTTCGAGATTCATGTCTTGGTGGTGTCTCTTACGGGAGCTGATGGTTTGCTTTGGTAGTGGTCTTCATGTTCTCTCCATCGTTGACCTGGGCCAACCGAGTAGAGTTACGTGGTCTGGAAAGTTGTCTTTTGATCATAGTGGTGATGGGAATGATAGTCTTCCACAGCTGCCGATTTATCCGGATGTTGATGCCACAGGGACTGGGGAGGTCGGGACCTAGAGGACCAAAACTGGTTCCGATTCTCCTCCAGAGATCATCTGAAACGGCGGGCCTTATGGGTATGGGGCGTATTGAAGCAGGAACTTTTGCCAGATTTACGGAAGTGGGCTTTCAGTTGGGAACAGCTCAGGATCTCGAGATGGAAAAAGATCTACGAGCAAAGATCGTGTCTGTTGCAAACATCCATCCACGCATGTTTGTCTGAGCCGGCGTTTTGTTTTGATTCCTGCCTGCCGTTTATCTTTCAAAGCTTCGGGCGTTTTTATACATACCGCATTTATCCAAACATCAAACAAATTCATATATTTCTCTACATATTACGCATGCGCTACACTTACTCCTAATGCCGTCGGTTCATGACCGCCATGACCAACGTCTAGCCCTTGGTATATAGCAAAGCAGAGAAAGGTCCGGGAGATCCTTAAATAAGATCCATGGTAATCATTGATTTTAACGCCTCCTCCATCCCGAAGCATACATAGTGTACCCCATACAAAGTTTTGCTGCACATAACAACTCCTCGGTGTTCCTCGGATGAGACTTTGGTAGCGTCTGCAGTAGCACTCAATCCTCATGGTTTTGGGACACTGCCTGGCGATTTATAGCTCTCTAGCCGGGCCAATGATCGATTTTGAGGGTTACTGTATGCATATCGCATACGTTTGAAAGGAGTTATTCTTCTCTTCCGGCTGCGCCAACTGCTTTTCGAGATTCGTATTGTCTTGAAGAGAGCGGATGTCAAGCTTAGCGGTACACTATGATGCTAAGACCCAGGTCGCTACTATCTTGGTGGGCAAATCATTGTGTAGCTAGAGAGGCAACAGCGAAGGATTGGTTGATTCTTCTGGATAGACCAGATTCGAATGGAATTCCTTCATTGGTCCGGACTTGAGGTACGCTGCATCGTCCTTCCTGAGGCCGAGGGGAGTTCGCGAGCGAGGGAGGCGAGCCATTATGGTAAGGTAACAACTAACTAACAGGCTAAGGCCAATTCGACGTTTTGATGGCCTGGCCTACTTGCGACTTGGTAACCGCGAATGCCAGTTGATGAGAGTATGTCAGGAGGGGAAATATAGATTGCCAAAAACACAATTTTTTGAAAAAGATCCACACAGCCTTTCTTATAGACTCGAGGAATTGATCAAGCTCAAACGCAAAGATAAAAGTTGACTTTGCCGTTATGGCGGGCCTTGGAACATGGCAAACGCAAAAAGGCACTAGAAAATCTGAACAGAAGTGCTCTGTTCCAAGAAAACGGTGGTACGTCGATTCAGAGTATCAAAAAATCAATCCAAAAGATTCGCTATTATACGCAGGCCTAATGCTCGTGTCAATCATACACCTGTATCTCTCTTTTAAACATTATATTCTTTCACGTAATCAAGCTAGAGATATCCAAAAGTATTGAATACGTCTGGGGTCAGTCATCTCATGCCAGGAACTGCTTGAGGTTGGCACCAATATGGTCCAAATCCAACAAGAAACTGTCATGACCAAACAGGCTAACGTCTTCTCCAAGTTCAATGTGTGTGACTCTGTTATTTCCCGCTCTTCGAAGCGTTTCCGCTATCTCCCTTTGCTGCCAAGCAGGAAATAGAATATCGCTGGAGACGCCCATTACTAGTGTAGCATGTTCTCTCAGTCCTTTCAATCCCAGAATCAAATCCTCTGGGGGCCCGGATGATTGCTGTACTGAGGAGTTGAGATCAGTTGGAGAACCGGATTCTGGCTGCTCCTCGTAAGGGGAATCTGGGAGAGTGAGACTACAGGAGGCGACTTCTGTGTTCTCTCGCTGGCCTTCTTTGAGTCGCTGAGTAACTGCAGCCCTCCGTGCAGCGGTTGCATCCTGGTTACTTGCACCAAGATCAAACAAATCCATCGCTTTGCTAACGTAGAGTAAGCTATTGGGATCGTATTCCAGACAGAACTTCTCCCCGGCATGGTCGAGATAGGTTTCGATCAAGAAATCGGGGCATAATGCAGGTTGTTTGCTCGGATCTGCTCTTCGCCGTCCAAATCTTTGCTCCCATTCCGGCCCTGACCGATACGTAACTGTTGCAATTTCTCTAGCAAGCTTCATTCCTGCGTGTGGAGGAACACTGTCATAGTAGAAGCCGCGGTTCCATCTTGGGTCCATCATGAGGACTTGTCGCTGGGTATGTCGCATAGCGATAGAATACGGGTGGCTTCGAGCACAGCCCGAGATGCTAGCTATTCTGCCTACTCGGTCCGGGAAAAGAACACCGGCTGCCAATGACTGCATGCCTCCCATGCTGGACCCAACACTCGCGTATAGCTTCTTGATTCCCAGCCCATCCAGAAGTCGGAATTGAGCTCGCACCATATCTTCCATTGTCAGTATCGGAAACCTCGTGGCATATCTTTTTCCGTCCGCAGGGTCGATACTACTTGGGCCTGTTGAACCATAACATCCTCCCACCACGTTCGTACATATGATGTGGTATTTATTTGTATCGAGACAACCATTCGGCCCAATGAACTTTTCCCACCAGCCAGGTTTTGGATTCTGTTCCGTTGAATGTGCATGCGACGATGCTGAGAGACCTGTATGTAGGAGGATCACATTTGACTTGTCGGCGTTGATCTCTCCCCACGTCTCGTAAGCTATATCAAATTCCGGCAGCACTCCACCCCAATCGAGCAACAAAGAGTCACGGCAATGGTAATTGAGCGTTGCTCCGCTTGTATATGACGGTTCAGGGCCACTGGACAGCGATCGAGCTTCAAGTGTCGCAGACTTTGATTCCAGAGCGTCAAGACAAGGGAAGGCCATTGCTGGATTCGAAGCGTCTGCAAGGCCAGCAGATCCGACTTTCTTTGGTGCTTGAGAATTGAAGCATCTCGAAGCGTTCTCTATCCTGCTTGCTTGCACCATCGTGGTATGACGGGATGCTAAAGAATGCCATGGTTTCGATGTGGTTTTCGAGGATCTTGTCGCTGCTCGCGCAGCGGCAACGACACTTCTTGTAGGATTCATAATGTTGTCGTATGTTCCGGGGACATTCTCGGTAAGGAGTCGGATTACTTGACCTCGCCGCCGCGACCTATTGCTTTATTCCTCTCAGTGACAATGGATGATTAATTGCTTTCAATCACTCGACAGGGGGTACGATGGCGGGGTCTTTCAGCCTCGCGCTAGCATGGCTCCCCTCAATAGATATTCAGCCTCGCGGACGTCATATCAGGATGCGAGTTCTAAGTAAGTCAATAAGTGAGCATCTGATCAGACCACCACTTGTATACCTTTCACTTGTTATTCGCTCCAACCACCCAGATCCATCAACAAAGCAAACTGGCCATAAATCCTCAATACCCGCAACGCTCATAGAAAAAGCCCACTACTACCTAACATGGCCGGTCTCGTCAACTATCTCTTCAATACCCTGTCTGCGGCAATATTTGGAACAGAAGCAGGAGAAGAAGAAGAGACAATGCCAACCGCATATTACGACTGTGACCGATATACCCCTTCCACTGAAGATGTCCTCTCTGTCAAAGATGTCCTATGCAAAGAATTCAAGCTCCCGCTAGAGCTTGTCGACAGCATCATTGATTTCGCCGAGTACTGGCCTCGAACAACAACCTGCAGGACAGGGGGAGAGCTACACGTCCGATCAGGTCGATCAATTGAGAATCAATTTATGGTAGGCTATTCAGTTTAAGTCTTGAAAAACGGGCACTTACAAGAATAGCTACGATCGTACCCTTTGGGCTACATTCCAAACGAAGATGCTCCTACCATCTGTCCCATGATATCCACCGGAAACCATGAATTCCCGGTTATGCCCGCTCAACCGTACAATTTAAATGCAGATATTCTCCAGCATGATAACAGAGAAGAAGTATTCTCGCGTTGGACTGAAGCTAGTCAAATCCGAGGAGAGCACGCCTGCAGAAAGATAGTCTTCACAATCGTCAGCCATGATCAGGGCTGGGGTGGCAGCAGTGCAGATAGAGGCACATACAGAGGGTCTTACACGTGGTTTGACGTTGGCAAAGAGACAATACACACCTGCGAAGACAGTAAGTGCTTTCACTTAGTTAACTGGAACTGGTTCCGGCATCATTTAGTGCTTGCTACTGACAGTATTATAGCTTCCGTCGTCAACAGAATGAACCGAGATGCGTTCCCTGTTCTACTTCCCAGGCACGGGGCTCCAGTAGAATTTGAGGGGAATGTTCCTCTCGCATGCACAGTCGAAACGACCGTACCGACTGTTAACTCCTCTTCGCCAGACAGATTCGAGCATCCGCTCATGCCAACCATGAAATCCCTGCAAAAGAACCTTACAGCAACAAGACAATCGCAAGAACACAAGATTACCTGGTCATTCCAAGATAACATCATGAATCCTGATTCTGTTGCCGGAACGGATCTGGAAAGCCAAGGACGTGGGTCAGAGACCGCCAACGGAGCCTTTGTTAAAGATATGAAGGTTGGAGATATAGTGACCGTCTGGGCGAAAGCTAGGTTTCCAGGTTGGGTCAATATTGTTGAAAGTGTCAAGATTGACGTCTACTATGCGGTTTGAGGTTACCGAAAGACACGATGGACATGATATCATGAATTACGGGAGGCGGATACCAGGCACGCTCCTGCTGGCAGTTACGCAGTCTTGCGAGATTTTTCCGCCACTGAGAATGGGTTGTTTCGTATGAAGATGTTCATTGGAAGCTCAAAAAAACTGTGCACACCGCAGTCTTGTGAGATTTGAGTCAACCGCAAAGTTGCGATTTTCAGTGAACATAATGATTACAATGACCCAATCAGCAAAGCACAATAATGAGCTTTGAGCTCCTATTTCATTATAGGTATAATTCTATCTGTGTAGTAATTATCTAGCAGGCCATCTATGCTGCGATTCCCTTCGCACCTTCCTCTTGCCCACATCCCACTACTTCCTCCTCTGCTTCAACTCCTTGCTTCAATTCCTCGCTTCAACTATTCAATCAAGTCGCCGATCTCATATTTTTGTGCCTTCAAGCTCTCTTACAGCTCAGCGGCTCCCTTCCAGCTCAGCGATTCTTCCGACCTGCTCCCTACAGTAATTCCTTCTCCGCAGCCTGCATTTGCATTTTCCTTTCCAAACAGCAACGACTCGGCCTAATCCTTGCCTGAGAACCTCAGACAGTTCAAAGCATTTAGTATAGCATAGTTGAGGTCTTCAGATTCCTGCTTCCAATCTAAGTCACCTTTCTAGAACGGTGTTGATCTCTGGGTGTTCTGTAGAGCCAACCACCACGGAGTTGAAGATACTAGATCCGGCCACGAAGTATGAGTGCCTTCAACCTTATCCCCAATGACGAGCATCGAGACCTCAAACTCTTTGAACGTGGCTCTTCCCTCTACCATTTTTTAAATACTGCTTCGTTGAGGCCCGGTGAAGAGCTGTGAGGGAGGGGAGGCCGATGCGTGGGAGGGACCAGCCGTGGACTTCGAGGGGCAGATTTTCGGGGAATTCTGTCAAGAACGGAGTTAGGGTTTGGAAATAGAGGGGTAAGGCTGGCTCTTAAGTATGTACCATGTGTGAAGGGGCTGCGTCGGGCGGTGGGGATGAGAGAGGCGGTGTCGGAGTCGGGGTCTCTGTCTGTGGGGATGGAGAAATTCGCTTTTATATCTTTGCAGTTCGTAGCAGTCCGGGTGTCTTTTTCTGCTATAGTTGCTGCCATTCTCTAGGAATAGATATGGAATTGGGTGGGGAATTTTCAAGTGAAGATCGTCGAGCTAGAGAGATGGAGCTTCAGGTAGTTTACGTGGACGTTTGAAGCTGCGGAGGACAAGGAAATGGTGGGTATGTGGGGCTAGCATGAAGTGTCGAAAGCCAGTTTTTTTGGGGGGGGGAGGGGGGTTTTAGATTTTTTTTTTTTACAGTGAATAATTGCAGAGATATTTCCAACTCGTAGGGATGCAATAAGGGGGTCGCTTGTCAACTGTCGCTTAACCCCTGAAATTCGCGTATCCTTTTCATCTCGCTTGAGTCAGTGAACAAGAACAATGACTTGCTGCTTTCTTTCTGAAATCTCAGGTCAAGAATAGCTTGCCCTTACTCTCATGAGTACGTATATAGTGGATCATTCTTGCGACTTGAAAATTTTACAGGTTACAGATTTACGCTTGATGGTGGGTGGCGCGCGCCTGCTCTTAAGTTGACTGCTTATCATGATATACTTAAATTCGTAACCTGCTACCGTGATTTCATATGTACTATAGAGAATATCAGGTGTTCTAAAGACTTCGAGAGATAATATTATACATTACTGGGCATTTTTTCGCGATGTCGCTTGGAGTTGTCCACAGTATTAACCAATCGGTATTTTTGTATGTACGCCTGGAAAACTCATTGCAGTATCTCTGCCCTGGGCTGTCTACCATCAAATCTGGGGATTGATCAGGCTCGGACTTGCTAGCAAACCAGCAGCAAATTTTGCCCCTTGCCAACTAGTTCCCGATATCTTTGCAGTCATTCCCTTCCCAACTTGAAGAAAATCCCAACTCCTCTTCTCCTGACGTCTAAATCATATTTGGCACTCTCGTCATAGGACTTGGCACTGGCGAGGCAACTTCCACAATCGTCCCTATGAGCTTCAAAGGCGGCGGTGGTCTCTTCCCAGACCCGCCCCCATTTCCCTTGACCAGAGATCCGCCACCTGCAACGCCCCGGGCTTGGCTAACACCACTTGCTTTGCGCGGGCGCGCCAAACGGCGATAGTAGGCATCGTAGAACTCGGTTAGGCTCGCCCGGCTCCCCACACTGTCGCTCCTACCTCTTATGCCTTGCCCGGCACCTAAATCGAGAGGATTTTCAAAACTTGAGGCCCGACCTCGTGCGGATACAGCGCTAGTACAGCTTGCGGGCATGGGATCGTAGTGCATGCTGTCTCGATCGCGGCTGCATCTCCAGGAGTCTGGAAATTCAGATGAGCTGCGGCTGTAGCGACGGAGCGAGCCGTGTGTGCGAGAAAGGGAGCGTGGCGACTCGGAGCGTTCGCGGGACGTGGATCTCGAGCGGTTACGATTGCTGGTACGTGGCTGAGAGGATGAGCATGAGAGAGATCGGGAGGGTGAGAAGGAGCGGGAGCGGGAGCAGGAGCGTGTTAGTGAGTGTTGCTGGGGTAGTGTGTCGGAGTCCATGATTGATGTTCTGTTGCTGTGGATGCATGATGCTGCCATGGAATGGACGCGAGTGAGAGGTCTTTGTCCATCGGCTGACGCTCTACGTGAGTGTGAGGGCTGGAAGATAGAGACGCGCTTCTTTCTGACGACTGGGTCGCAGAAGACTGGCGATTCTGGGGCATTTCTATCGGAGACTGGTCCTGAGAATTTCAGCGAAACTAGGATTGCTTGCTGGCTGAGTGTGGGCGAAGAAGAGTTCCAGCTCCTGGTGTCCCGTGGAAAAGAAAATTGGCGGGGATCTATGGTCACCGCTTGTGGAGCGAGATCGTGGAGCGGTACTGGGCAAGCCGCAAACTGAGAATTCGGCTGATTTTTTGGATGAGAATCAGAGCGCTCATGGGAGCCACTTGCTGGAAATATCGACCGTGGACCACCCCGAGGGAGCACATTTGGTACATGGTTAATCGAGGGAGGAAAGATCGATAAAGGAGTGGATTTGGGAGACGGCCGCCGGGCGACTGGAGGAGGAGGTGCAGCTGAGGAGGCTTCGCTACCCGCAAATGAAGTCGCTACAGATTTGATATTTCTCGACTTTTCCCGTGTCGGAACTAGTAGTCCGGAATCCTCGATCTCTCCAGAAAATGTGAACTTCGGTAGATATGATATTGGCCTCGAATTCGGGCTTGATAGAGGATTCACCCGGGTTGGTCGTTCACCAAAAGTCTTCTCGTTTGACTGGGACGAATGTGGTAGCGTGTACACCCCATCTCTACCTCCGATAATGTTTGCCTCGTAGTTGAGCCTGCTACTCTTCTTGTTGTTTGGAGACTCAAGGCTTGAAGTCGAATGTTTTCGCTTAGTTCTGTTTGGGGTTGCAGGCGGTGACAGCGTCTGGGGAATCGATACAACAATGCTCGGTACCGAATTGGTAATATATGTTCCGGCCTGGTCCACATCTACTGGCATTGTGTTTGGCGACAACAAATGAGAGCTGGATTGCGAGAAGCTTCCGAAATATCCATGCTCCAACGCTCGAACACCAGATAAGTCGCCTTCGCCAAATGGTCTCCCAATCAACTTTTCTTCATCTATTCTCGCAGCAGCTTCGACTTCTGCCTTCTCCTTATCTTTTCTGAACCTGAAGAAGTAAACATATGTTGTGAACTTCGAGTCTGGTAACTGACCTTCTCTTAATGAAGAGCAACCTGATAAGGCTGGCAAGAAATGCGAGTACGACAAGAGCCCCCAACACAATGCTATTCGAATTAATGATCTATCTCAGCGTGCCAGAGTTTTCTGAGACTCACCCAATTTTGCCGCCCAAGCCGATAGATCCGAACCAGCTCATCGCAAAAACCAAAAAAGTAGTACTCCAACTGAAAATATTTTGGGATCTTTATATGCTTCCTACCCAACTAGTACAATATGCGACAACCTTCGCTCGCAGATGCCGATACAGAGACCAGATATATCGGAAATCTTGATCGAATGAATCGAGGTTCTGGAACCAATGTATACCACGAGATCTTCTACGGCCGCATAGAAGATGTCTGCATCTGTCTAACTAATTTGTTCTTGTTTCAGAATATTCGTTGGGTGGCGGCTTCGAGTATTTAATGTTTCGGGAGAAGAAGTGGATAGATCGATGTAGAAGAAAGTTAACGACGAAGGTATTTGACAAAGTGTTTCAAGGCGGTATGTATATGGCGAAGAAGAACCTCGTCTCGACACTGGCTATATAATTAAAAAATTAAGGTATTTCAAGTAAATCTGGTCACTGACAATATAATTGAACAAATGAAGGTATATCGAGATATTCTGATAACGACAGATCTGAGGGCATCAAAACGGAAATATTGAAGGGGAACGAGAGGCGAAAAAGAAGTGAAAGGCTAAACTCTCGAGCCTCGATCTCACAGCTCAACACTAGCTCAGTGCGAGCGGGAGAAGACTAGTAGGTCTAGCTCGAGCTGAAGCTCGAGCTCCGCTCTAGATTTACTTGGCACCGCATGGGCGTGCGTCGTGACATCAGTTACGGTACGTTTGCCTGTAATAGGCTTGAGGCGTTAGACTTATCGTGATGCAGGTACGCCGCTCGTTAGGGAACAGGATTTCGCAGCTGTGCTAAGCACATAATGGGGATGAAGCCACCCCCTGAACTTGTCAACAAAAGGATTTCGCTAGCCGAGGGTCGAGCCGAGGGATTGGGTTTCGCTGTTATCTCGTCTCGGTCAGCGTAGAGATGTTTGATGCGTGTTGCGAAGCTCGCCTGAGATCTATACGTATGAGCTGGATTTCGATTGAAATTCACTTATGGCTTCTTCATCATCTCGAGAGGAGACGAGGTGGTGGTTTCAGCAGAGCAATATTGATGTGGGGCATCCTTATCCAAGCGCGAGGCGCTATATACATATCAGGAAAGGGCTCAGCGTCTTCCGTTTCGGGTTCCTAGAGGAATTACTACCGTAATTTAACCATGGACCTAGAAAACAATCGACGTTGTTGCATTGATCTGGCGGGTTGTAGAACGCAGTGCCTACCGCTCTGAGAACCTCTTATAGGGTACGGAGACGTACTAAGTAAAGGTCTCCTTCTTCCCCGGAAACTTATTTTTTGACTTCAAGCTCCGTTTTGTATTTAAGTATCAACTGTCAAACTGTCAATTTGTCCACCGACTACGAAGCCGTAATTGTTTGGAAAATATGTTAATAAATCTAAATTCGGTTTTCTTGTGACAGAATCTCACGTTCAGTCTTGTCGATGATCCAATACGAGAAATAGGAGGTACCCTCCTTCGTCCCGCTTTAGTGCAGTGTTTATGCAGTGCATTGCCAATTATCTTTGGGAAGAGCATCTCCATCGGTCAAGAGAAGATCTCATCATGCGAACGGACCGATCAGACCCTCTGTGAAATCCCTCCGTGCATATTAGCACCCTTGTTGAGTCAATTGAGAGTACGAGGCGAAGAAGCATGTCATTTTGCGTGACCTTTGCCACGCACGGCATGGAGTTCATCTCGCTTTCACGAATACTGTCAACTTTAGAGTTCAAGTCCTGCTTTCCTTATAGCTCTCTCATATCACTTTCCCGACGATATGTACATTCTCATTTACATGGTCAACAGCCCGACAATCTAACTCCATCATGAAAGCCTCACCAACGCTGAGAAAAAATTTAGAAGCAACAGCCTACTGATAGCGGCTTGGTGTGACTCAGATCTACATCTAGCCTAATCTTTGGTGCTATTCCCATAACTTCCGGATCTATAGTACATATCTCTGATAGCTCAGCTTATTTATCTAATACCTAGCATCGTCCCTCACGAAAAAAGCTTAGGTTGAGCTTTTAAGAATTCAATTTACTTTTTTGGCATCATACTAGATAGACACTACTAGACACAATGTTTGCTCTTGTATCGGGTGATGTTAGGTCACGTGGTTGGTAAGTGAAGGCATCACTTGATGGTGTCAAGAAGATATAACTGCCACCAACTAGTGATTGAACGTCAAAGTGATATCAGTGATCAAAAGTGTATCCTGTTCATAACAAACAAGACACAGAGTCTTCTTCTCTTAGCAAAACTTTGTGGTTTTATGTGCAAATAAAGTAATTATTTTTTTTCTCTCTGGCAATAGCTGTGGTCGGAGAGAATATGATCACGGAATTACACGAGTCCTGCGTCTTGGAGTAAGGGGCATTCTGCCATGAAATTAACTAAAAATTGATGCTTATAACAAAGTGGTATCAGATCATTATAGAATGAAGCGTTGTAAATTCAAGTTGTGTTACAAGAGTAAAAGGTAAGGAATAAAACTTCGCCAGAGATCGCCAGCAGTACAACTAACTACCCAGGATATTAAATCCACCAAAGCTACATTTTTCACACGGCCAGCGCCCAAGGTCACGGCCAATCGCCAAGTTCCTTCCAATACCAGGCTTTCCAACAGTACAGTTTTCTTACAGTAAGGTGTTTCGCGTTCCCCTAAATTTCCAACTTGTCCACCCAAACGTCCAACTCGCATCCGGGCCTTCCAAGCGAAGTACTTCTGCACTCAAGCCAAATTCCTCCATCATCAGCATAACGGCAATATTATATGTTCTCGCCTCCACATACAGAAATTCCATAGGCATTTCTTTGAACCAGTGGTCAAAGGCGGCCTCGCATGCTTCCTTCATGTACCCTTCCTGGGCCAGGGTGTGGTGTATCCGATACGAGACCACATTTCGGTCAGCAGGAGCGATTTGTAAAAAGCCGATGACTTCTCCTTCGGGGACGGCTAGGTCTCCGTCCCTCGCTTTTCTGGCTAGGATCAGGAAGAGTTGGAGGGCGCCTAGCTTTTGCCATTTAAGCATTGTCTCAGCGTAGTGGTCGGGGGAGTGGACCCATAGCTCGTTTATGGTGGCATATTGAAACCCTTCGTCAGGCTCGGGAGTTCGGAGTATGAGACGCTGGGTGGAAAGGCGGACCATTGTCGTCGAAGTAGGTGTCTTGTCCTTCCAGGCAGGCATTCAAGTAAAAGATTCTTAGTATGGATGAAATGTCACGGCCGGAGAGCGGGTTTTTATGTAGACGATGCCCACGGGTTTCGAGTATGTGGCATTGTGATTAACTATCGTTGAATGATCCCACATCTCTCGTTGACGTGGAAGTAGGAGTAGGAGTACATGGGGTGTACAGAGCTCTCGGGCAGTCGTGGCTGTGAATCACTCGCTTTCTGTGTAACTCGCACCCGTTCTCGTGCGTAACCCATCGTGGAAACTTGTCATCCGCGAGATAGCATGAACGTAACTTTTTAATATAACGAAGGCCTCCAGTAAACTCTTGCTGGAGATTTGGGACTTCGCTGAGGAGATGAGAGCGAGTGGAACATGCCGGATAGTCGAGGCCATTGAGCTGCGTTGTCTTGGGAGCGGAAATCAGTAGCCAAGCCTGAGTACTGAGGACGAGCCAGAGGCTATTGGTTATTCATTTACTCCAAACGAATGAAGTTCTGTGATAGAATTCCGCAAGGCTGGCACAGTTGTCAGGGCAGTGAAAATTTTGGTCTGTTGCGCTCTTTCGAACTTCAACATTGTGACCTAGTCTATAGTAGCCTGCATCCGATATTTTTCTTGCGTCTACACCCTCTTGATTTAGCAAGCAACTCTCGTTCGAGGATTCCTGCAGCCCGCGCCCTTCGAGTCGAGAGCAGCTGCAACAGAAGACGCCTTCCCGGATCTCAACCTCGAAGACCCCATCGTATAGGTATGAAAGCACATCCCCTCAATCAAAACTGACTTTCTAATAACCTTCTGCAGGAAGAAAAGCCTATGATTGTGTTGGGAAACCTGTCTTCCGGCCCAAGTACACCACGTTTTCTTCCACTCCCTGAGCCTGAAGGATTCGGTTCAAGGCCATATTCATGCCCTCAGTGCTTGAAGCAATTTCCCTCAAGAAGTGGATGCAGAAACCATTTAGTGAGCAGAAACCGAGTCTGAGCTCTTCGAAGAACAGTTCCGTCGCTGTGACGGGCCCGTCGAGCGAGGAAGAGCTAACATAGTGACAAACGAACCTCGGAGACTATCATTCAAGACTATAGATGAGCTGTCGAGGAGCTGAAGCCGAAAGAAGGGTCCAACAAGCCTCGATCGAATAAAGGGAGTATGGTCGAGAAATCGAGATCAGAAGAAAAGCATGAAGACAAGAACGATGCACATATAAAGTTGAAAGGATGTGGGGGCAAAAGAAAGGCGAAGGGCAAAAGGTGATTGCAACAATAATTGAGATTGGAAGGAGATAGTTGTGAGAAGAAGAATTATTGGCATCTTCAAAGTAAAACTGGAGGTCTGGAATGAGGGTAGCGGCCGACTTGATTCGGCGTAAATTCTCACTCTTCCATTTGTCAATCAGGAACTTCCGAAGCACCTTGTAGACAAGGAAAGCTTGGAGCTGGCGTTCAGATGCACTGGCCTTACATGCTCTGTACGTCGAGACCAGTGATATCCGGAGGTTCTCTAATATTATTTCCTGGCTGGACTTGTATTCGTTGATCTTTGAAGCCATTTCTCAAGGACATGGGAAGAAGAAGAGTTCTCCATGAGCCATGAGGGAGCCGATGTACGAAGAGCGAGTATTCAAGGGTCCAACATCGGAGTTCAGTGAGGCGTAGCATCCGTGGGTCTCAATGTAGCCACACATTAGCACCTGCAAGATTTTGGCAGCACTTTCCCATGCAAAATAACTCAGAAGCCATTGCGAGATCTTTGCAGCAGACCCCTCCACAATTGTAGAGATCCGTCCCTCAATTTCTTGTACACTTCCTCTACCGCCTCCACCCTTTTCGGGTCAGGCCCTGACGGAGCTTTCCTTACACGCCGGATATTCTCTCGCAAGTGCAGAGAGCAGCATCCTGAGTCGCTCCATGGGGACCATTTGGGAACGGCAAGGCAGTCGATCGAGAATAATCGATTTCTGGGAATAGGAGCGAGTTGGGAATCTTAACGGAGTGCCGCGGCTGGGACTTGGTCAACTTGAGTGCAACTTCAACTTTCCCAGCAGAACACCGCACACCTCAAGTATCTTTTCAGGGGAGTTTGAAAATGAACTCAACGGTCAAACATCAACATCCTGGGGATCTTGCACGAGGTTTATGATGTCTGTAGATGGCAGATGCTCACGGAGTAGTGCAACGCGCTTGTAAGGCGGCTGATGCTTTGGACTGAAGGAGTGCCAAGGTGTGGTGTCAAAGAACGCGAGTGACAGCAATAAATCCGGGGCTGCGCTAAGGACCTTTCGCGACTCTTGCAAATCATTGCCATCATTCGTCATCAAGCCTACAACTTCGCTGTGATGCAATACAATAAGACATTTATCGTTCTTCTTGTCACCATGTCACAATGAAGAGGGGAACCTAATGGAGAGAACGGCTTTTTATATTGCTAAGGACGCTTAGGCTTAGCTTACTAAGCGTTTTCTCTATCTTAGCTACTTCGTAGCCGCTGTATATTAATCAAATAGCTTATTCGGTTGATTAAGCTGGCTCCAAAAGAAGACTACCTAATAGAAAGGACGGCCTAGACTGCTTACCTAAGCTTCGCTTTTAGCTACGCACTTCGACCTTAGAGTCGAGGGCACATAAACTAACTAACTAACCAACTAACTAACAGAGGACGGTAGGTAAGTTTACAAAACATACTAACTATAGAGTCGATGGTTTTAAATAATGCTTCAGGCGAGGTTCGCTCCTAATTTGGGGTGGCGGCCGCGTCGACCGCTAAGGCTCCATCCAACATTCACTTACAAACCCCTCCGTTCTACGTTTTACATATTCAGAATTCAGTCAAAATTCAATTCCCTCGCGAATCCTACAAGGCTGGCGACTAGTCGCAAGACGGACCTGGAAAGGCAACAATCTGTACCTTTCCCCGGAGATCAACATTGGCGACTATGTTGAAATCTAGCCCGACACAGAATTTGGTGAAGCTTGATGGAAGAACAGGAGAAGGGGGAGGCCAAGTTGTCCGGGTCGCCGTTGCGTTGGCGGCCTTGACCAGAACACCAATAAGGGTTGATAATGTGAGAGGGAACCGACCAGGACATGGCCGAACGGTAAGGGGTGGTGGTAAGTCGTTCATCCATTACTTCTTACGTCGAAGTCTCAGGGCTAAAGATCTGATAAGGTCTGAAAGCTCAGCACGTCGCTTGCATTCAGTGTCTGGCCGACGCTACGGACGCTGATACCAAGGACTGTTTTATTGGAAGCGAGTCCTTCGAGTTCAAAGCAAAACTATCCCCAGAAGCTATCAAGCGCCGGAACATCACAGTACAGGCGAATTCCGCCGCGAGCATCCTCTTGGTCTTCCAGGCCACTCTGCCATTCTTCCTCTTCGCTGGGGACGAAAGAAATTCTCCCATCACACTTACTATTCAGGGTGGCACCAATGTCAGCTTCTCCTTATCATTCGAGTATCTGGATCAAGTCCTATTGCCAGCTCTGGAGAGGTTCGGAGTCAGAGTAGAAAGAGAATTGGAGCATCGAGGCTGGTCTCATGGGAGTCTACAAATTGGATCAGCCAAGTTCACGATCACCCCTCTTCCGCAAGGAGAATCGCTCAAACGGCCTGACTGGCCATTGGAAAAAGGCGAAATTACCAGGATTGATGTTTCAATTCTCGTGCCCAAGGACATTCAGGAGCCCCTTATGAAGACCCTCAAGTTTGAGCTTGGCCTGGTATTTCCTGGTGTCGAGATCAACTTTCTCTTGGTTGATAACAGCAAACATCGTGCTAGAAATTACACACTTCTAGTTGCTCATACATCGAATGGCTTACGCTTCGGCCGAGACTGGCTGTATGATGGAAACACTAGAAACAAAAGTGCAGACGATCTTGCGGCCGAAATAGCTGCAAGAGTTGTGAACGATCTCGATGCAGAAATCAGAAAAGCGGGAGTGGTGGATGAGTATTTACAAGATCAGCTCGTGGTTTTCCAAGCACTTGCGAGTGGAGAATCGAGTATTCCTCGGACTGCAGAGGCTCTTACTTCAGACAAGGAATCATTAGACCGGACGGACGAACCCTTTGGCGACGGTAGCATGCACACAACGACTGCTAGATGGGTTGCCAGTCAACTGCTTCCCCGGGTCAAATGGATCGATGGAGGCCGTATCTGTCACGGAGCAGCTTGGAAGACATCACGAGCTGAAACTTCAATAGAAGAGCCGTTAGATGGTATGCATATCAAATGATGGTACTATTTACTCCAGGCTACATAAATCCAGCTCATACAAGCTTGTTTCCCGAGTCACTCGAAGCAACAAATCCGGTGACGTTGCTGTCCTTCATTAACCACAGATACGCTTCTGCTACTTCTTCGGCTGTTCATTTGTCAGCAAGCCAATCTCCATGCCAAAAGGGAAGTCTTACGCTTTCCAACTTTCCCCGTGAGCACCTCCGACGCGATGTTCTCGAACATCTTCTTCCTCTGCTCCTCGGACATACCCTTCCAGAGCTCGGTATCAACAGGACCAGGACTGACACAATTGACTCGAATTGGCCTCAGATCCAATGCCAAATTTCTCGTCATCCCATGCAGCCCAGCAGCAAACCCAGCAATGACACTCCAATTAGAGATTGGCGTTTCAGCGACCCCTCCCGTCGTCAGCACAATCGACGAAGCTGGACCTGGATTCAAATACTTCGATCCAACCTTAGCTACCAGTAATGGGGCAATGAATCGGATCTGTCCCGCTCTGGTAATGGCTTCGTAGGTGATGTCTTGGACCGACATTGAGGCGAGTGCATCTCCGGCGGTGAAGACAATATGGTCAAGCTTGCCGACTTGCTTGAACAAGGCTTCGATGTCTTGCTCGACGGTTGTCCTGGAGAGATCACAGGTGTACCCTGATACCTGGGCCGAGTGGTAAGAATTCTTGAGCTTTTCAACGCCAGAATTGACGCGGTCGCTGTTGGAGGAGGAGATTGTGACTGAGGCGCCGGATTCGATGGACGCTTCCGCAACGGCAAAGCCAATCCCTTACACTCAGTCAGCTTTCCAAGTTCGATTTCGCTCCTTAAAAATGTTCCATGCATACCAGAAGTTCCTCCAATTATCAGAACGTGCTTGCCGGCAAGCTTATTGTATTTCTGTTGTGGGGCCATTTTCGTCGACATGGGATACGTAAATCAGTGTTTCCGAAAACTTGATCGTCAATTTCAGGATTGATTCCAGCTTAAATACGTACTGTAGACACGTAGGTAGGTAAATACTCTGCCACCGCATTCGATTTTATATAATGGAATCCATGCGGACGTGAGGGCAAGGCCTTTCGACCGCCCCGCTGACGTCAAGACTATTTACTGCCCCCATTTCGAGCCCGAACCTGCCAAACGCATTCTTCTTGTGCCTTTCGAACGCGGTTCTGTTAGTCGTACATAGATTCAGTATTTTGGGTCGACAAGCTTTTTGCTACGGACATAGCCTTCTCAATCTCCTAACGGTCTTCCTGTCGATCCAAGCCCATATCCACATTTTCCTGTCTCTCGGCTTCATATTCAGGCCGAGTCGGGACTTCAGCTAGCGTCACAACCGTCCAAAAATCCAGACTCGATGAAGGAGTCTGACACGAAGCCAGCCAAGTTCCGTGAGGGGCTATTGGCTATGACTCGATCCACAGTAGGAGCGACATAAGGGGGCTGACCGTGTGCTATGTATCCGGCGCCGTATATATAATCCTATTAAAGAGCTCAATCTTCCGTCGCGGGGGGAAATACTTAAGGCATGAAGCTTCTAACTTCTTCAGTCTACAAGTTTTTGAGTGTAAAAAGACACGATCTAGTATCTAAAGCATCTAAAGCCTTCGTCGATCGCTAGCTAAAAGCGGGGCACTCCTCGCTTCTGACAGCCGAAGTAAATAAATAGGGAATTTGTTTTGAATGGGCTATTCAATCTCCCGACGATTTCGTATGCCTCAAATTGGACTTCCGTATTTCAGCAAAAAAAGATTGTCCCGATTTCAAATGCGGTTTCCAGCCTTTTTACGCGGTAGCGATCGGTATTCGTAATCATGACGACCGCAACGCGATGTACGAGATCCACTGGAGTTGAAGCGTTTCATCAGGCTGACATGCTTATACGTTTACCCCACAGGCGACCAAATATATATCGGGATTTTTTATTCAATATCCATCTTCTCTTTTTGGGCTATTGCGACTCGGATAGTTTGGATTGATTTGAGCACCCCGTCAAGTGAATTTGTGAGTTTTGCGTCGGCTTCAACTCCGTGACAAGCCGTTTCTTGAAAATTTAACGAAGGAATGTAGAAGGCGAAAGGCGAAAGGCGAAAGGTAAAAGTACTTTGTAGAATTGTAGCTAAAGGAAACTAGTTAAATGATTCAGATGTGTTTGTACTGGAGTTTCAGGAGAATGCTTGCATGCATGCTTCGAATAGGTCAAAATCGATTGCTACTACTGGCATGCAGTCTTTGCGGGTGGCTTAAAAGTCACCGTGAAACCATAGCACACAGGGCAGATTTTTGGTTGATCATTTCCTGTCCAATTCTTTCAGGAGTAGGATACCACATGTGGTTTCAATCAAACCATTCTCATTGTTCTTCCGCATATCGTTTACTATATCATGCCGCTTCTCTCCTTATCTCAAATAAATTTATATCAGAGCTGTGTTGCCACAAGCCCCGGACTGAGGATGCAATCACTTGAGATAATGACAGACACCTGGGATGCCGATCGCACCCTGAATGACATCCGGCTCTTCCTTCAGAATCATCATCGAATCCCCCTCGAGCCTCCCCACGGGCGCGATACCCAGCCACATCCCAGCCCGGACCAGAGATACGGAACCATCATCTTGCCTCTCCTCACTCTACCCACGGGGACCGACCGGGGAAATCTGCACTGGCCGACCGTCCAGAGCTTTCTAGAAGCTCTAACGCCACTGTTGTACACGGCATCCGAAGCTTGCCGAATTTCAGATGCAGAAAGACATGATCAAGCGCTGAGAATCGTGGGCGAACTTCTACGGGATCAGGATCCAAGGATGGGTGTTGCCGCCATCACCAGCTACAGCTGCTTCGAGACTGTCCGTCTGTCCGTCAACCTTGCTCTAGACGCGGCACCGTTGAGATCGGATCATGGCAGTCAGGTGGTTGCAGTTGCGGTCATTGGAGACTTCTCTGGGGGGAATATCGTCACGTCTTCGCCGTTGAGACGTATTGAATTTCCAGTTTCCCATGGAGGTATCTTTGTTGTTGGTTCTACGCCAGGTCCGATCTTGGTGCAGAACATGGTGTTTGAAGGCGAAAGATACCAATTGGAGTTCTTCTTACCAGATCTAAGTAGCTCTTGAGATGGATTGGCAAACTTGAATGGCTGTTACAGCAGTAAGGAATATGCGGATTTGATGAGCGCGATGCTAGAAAAGTGGGACATTATTTGTAAATTATCTGACCCAGAGCAGTATTTCATTAGCTGAGATCCGCTGTATGATACAAGAATGAAGAAGTGGAAGCCCGAAAGATTCGTGTAAGAGAGCCTAGAAGCCTAGAGTAAAAGCTAACAGAGCGCTCGGCAGTCTTCTCTCAATCTGCTCATAAGATTAGCATAGGATATCATGGTCCTTAGGACAGGCCTCCTGTTGGAGATGAGGACTTTAAGTGGGGGGAATTCTCTAAACTGTATTCGTCCTGCCGGATTCGGACCATGGTCTGAAATGAAGCCTGTCTTTGTGCCTGCGAAGTCTCTTGTTAGATATTCTTATGGAACTAAAAATCGAAAGTTTTGGAAATTTTTAACAGGAGGTGCCCTTTCAACTGCCGTGCTTGAATTTCCTTTCGTCTGTTGATATTACCCTCGCCCCCCTTCTTAAGCGAGTGGGCGGACTTGGCGGCCGAGAAACACAGATTGGGGCAATCCACTCCCCCGCATAGAAACAACAATCAAGCTCCGGCGATCCCACACTTGGCGATTCTTCAACCCTCTCGTCATTGCTTATCGCTCTAGGGAACAGGTTTAGAGAGCCGGGCAGCTGCACTTCCTGCCTCTTTCAGTCTAGCCTGCCCCTTGTCAATCTCGCTTATGGACTGCTAGCGACTACCAGCCGGGTACACCAATGCAAGTTCCCAGATTAGTGCGACAGCTCGACCTGAGCTTGATAGCAGCGGCGAGCGACAAGTGGAATGTACACAGATGGATAAAGATAATGTAATATCAGGTGGTTCCTTTTCCATTTCCGTTCCCCTCCCCTCTCCCTCCCTCATCTCCCTCGTCATCCTCTTTTCTCCACTCGAAGTCCTCGTTCCCAAAATTGAGATGTTTGTTAAGCTCTCTGTCATCCTAGGCATTGCTGCTCTCTGCCATGCTGCCCCTTCTCCTCTCAGGCATGTTCTCCACGAAAAGAGAGCAGTCGAAAGTCGAGACTGGATCAAGGGCGACAGGCTCGAGAAGACTGCAATTGTGCCAATGAAGATTGGCCTCACGCAGTCTAACCTGGAAAAGGGCTACGACTACCTCATGGATGTGTGAGTGCTTGGCTCCTCTACAAATATCTCCCCCTACTGCACGTTGTCCAAAGACCATAGTGTCGAAGCTTCCTGACAGCCAACAGCTCAGAAGCACACTCGGAGAACTACGGGAAACATTGGACTCCAGAGCAAGTGCATGACGCGTTCGCTCCCAAGGAAGAGACAGTTGCAAGCATCACTCAGTGGCTCACAGACTCGGGCATCGCGCACAACCGAATCGTGCTCTATGAAAACAAAGGCTGGATCGCCGTCGATGTGACTGTCCAGGAGATTGAGGATCTTCTCAAGGCCGAATTCTACGAACACGGCCATAGCAGAACATCCAAAATCAGGGTCGGAAGTGAGAGGTACGAATAACTTGTCATGATGCATGATTTCCATTGATCATCTTTATAGGTACCATGTTCCCGAGCATCTCACTTCTCACATTGACTACATTACTCCTGGAATCAAGCTCTCCCCAGTTATCAAGCGCACTGTTGAGCGAAAGACCAAGCGCGACTTCCACTCTGTCCATGCACCAATTCACGCCAGCGTACCAGCTGAGGAGCATTCCAGCGCCATCTCCGCTGCTGCCGCTGCTCTTCCACCTGCTCTCCAGAATTGCAGCACCGACGTGACTCCGGATTGCATTCGAGCCCTCTACAGTATCCCCGCCAACCCACCAGCAGTGCCTGGCAACTCTCTTGGGCTCTACCAACAAGGCAGCTACTTCGCCGAGTCGGACCTCAACCTCTGGTTGGCGAAATATGCTCCCCATGTGCCTCAGGGCACATTCCCCATTAACAACACTATTAACGGAGCGTCCTACTCAGTGCCCGCTTCAAGTCAATTGAACAGTGGCGAGGCGTTGATTGATATCGAGATGGCGTAGGTCTTCCGCATATTCAAACTCTAGCTCGGTGACTAAGTTGGCCAGAACCTCCTTGATTTACCCTCAGACAGTCACCCTCTATCAAACTGACGACGACATCTACGAGCCACAAGAAGTGGCTACAACCAACTTGTTCAATACCTTCCTTGACGCTCTCGATGGATCCTACTGTAACTACACCTCAAATGGGATTACTGGTGACAGCCCATCGATAGACCCTATCTACCCTCACAAGGTGCCCGGAGGTTACAATGGGACAAGACAGTGCGGCGTCTACAAGCCGGTCAGTTTCCTCCCCAAGAAAATTGATGCTCTAGACGACAGACAATACTGACACAGCTCAAGGCCAAGGTCATCTCTGCCTCTTACGGCCAAGCCGAGGCCGATCTCCCAGCGCCGTACGTCCGCCGCCAATGCAACGAGTTCATGAAGCTCGGTCTCCAAGGCGTCAGCATCCTCTTCGCCTCGGGAGATTACGGCGTTGCTTCCTTCCCCGGCGACGGCTCCGAATCAGGCTGCCTCGGCCCCGACGAGCTCATCTTCAACCCACAATACCCGTCTGGGTGCCCGTACGTGACGTCTGTCGGAGGCTCGCAGATCCGCGCCAATGGCACGGTCTACGACCCAGAGGTCGTCATGCTCGACAACCTCGGCGGCGACGCAGTCAACTTCTCTTCGGCTGGAGGTTTCTCCAACTACTTCTCCCGCCCAGCATACCAAGGTCAGTCAGTCTACATTGTCGACCCCCTCCTCTTATTCCCGCAGTCCCGAGCTCGGCAAGAGCAAGACACCAGTCGCCTCTCTCTGGATCACCGATGATGCCAGCCGATGCTCACTGCTGCCCCTCCTCCCCCCCCTCCCGCCCCCGAAACCCCGAGACGCGAACGGAACGGTCGCTCGCTGACGTGCAGATCTCCAAACCCCAAGATGGCCACGTCCAGACGTACTTCCACCGCGCGCACCTCACCTACCCCTACTACTCCGCTCTCGACACCAACGTCCAGAACACGACGGGCGTCTACAACCGGCGCGGGCGGGCCTACCCCGACGTCTCCGCGAACGGGGCCCGCTTCCCGGCCTACGTCGACGGCGCGCTCTACCACTTCTACGGCGCCTCTCTCTCCTCGCCGCTCTTCGCCTCGGTCCTGGCGCTGCTCAACCAGGAGCGCGCCCGCGCCGGGAAGGGGCCGGTCGGCTTCGTCAACCCCGTCCTGTACAGGCACGACGACGTCCTGAATGATGTGACCGAGGGCACGAACCTGGGGTGCGGCTCGCAGGGCTTCAAAGCCGTCGAGGGCTGGGATCCGGCTACGGGGTTGGGAACCCCGAATTATCCCAAGATGAGGGCTCTGTTCTTGTCTCTGCCTTAGAGATGCCATGAGCTGTTATTTTTTTCGATGGGAAGACGTTGGCACTTTGCCCCCGTGTGTGTGCGTGTACGTATAGATCGATGGATAGACAGATGGAATCTGAAATCTTTTCGCTGCTGGAAGGAACACGTTCGTATTTTCGATCGTTAGACCTCCTCTCGGTTACTATGAGCGATGAGACTTATCTTGATAATGTACCTGGAACTGACAACACGGACGAATGCGTGGCTGCTTTCTCCTGGGTTGGATTGGACACGCTCGGTTCAGTAGCGAGGGAGGAGGGGTCTCGGAAGGTGGACGCAGTATCTACGATTCTATTTATTACTTGGCTCCCTTCTTCGCATTGCATGCTTCATGTTCCATGCTTCTTTGTCTTTTTCTTCTTCCTCCTTTTTCTTCCTCCTGCTTTCCCTCTCCCTCCTCCTCGTCCCCCTTCCTCCTTTCCTCTCTCGCACAAAGTTTGTTTGTTTGTTATTCTCCACACCTGCATGCACCCCATAATCTCTCGAAACCCGGGAAGCCACCCCCGGACGGACGAAGTCCAAGCAGAAATGGAATTGTCGATAATGCCGTGACGAGAGAGAGAGAGAGAGAATCGATTCATACAGCACTTCACGGAGAGGTAGGTCGTCTACGAGCTATATCTTATCTTGACCGGAAACGAAAACGGGAAACTGAGTGTGGGAGCTGGTCCTTTTGTATTGACAACGACTACTTGGGATGGGTCAGGCCGGGTCTCTTTGGATAGTACAGTACAGAGTAACAATTATGGCGGTGGAGTCGACATGGCCCCGAATTAGCCGAATCTGTCGTTGATAGAGAGGTTGCAAGACGAAGCGAGAATGAACGAAATATCAAGCTTTATCGCTTACTAGCCTAGGTAGGTAGCTCCAGGAGAGTTTCCCGGCAGCGCATGACCCCTGGCCGCATGACGTGTACAACCCGAGACCCTGAACACTTACTTACAACACTTCGAACATCTCCAGAGTCAACAACAGCCGAGTAGTGGCTGGCTCGAGGCGAAAAACATGGCAACAACCAGAGGAGCTAATGCAGCAGCGGCTGCGGTCAGCATCTACATCCTGACATTCAACTGTGGCAAAACCGGCATCGCCGTCGACGCCTTCGCCTCCCAGCTCTTCTCGGGCCTCTCCTCCCCACAGCTGCCCGATCTCCTCGTCCTCTCCCTCCAAGAGATAGCTCCTATACCGCACTGCCTGATCGGCGGATCCTTTCTCGTGCCGTACTTCGCGCGCTTCCACGATGCCGTGGAGAGGGCTTCCCGGAGAGCGGCAGGGACGACGGACGACGCCGAGGGGAGGATCTACCAGCCGGTGGCAGCGAGGAACCTGGGTATGACGGGGGTGATGGTCTTTGCGAAGGACGGCGATGCCATCTCTGACATCGAGACTGGCGGGGTCGGGGTCGGCTACGGGGAGATGGGGAATAAAGGAGCGATGGGAGTCCGGTTTACATACCACGGCAATGGGACGTCGACGGAGCTGGCGTTCGTAGCAGCACATCTCGAAGCGATGGAATGGAATCTCGAGCGCCGGAATGCAGATTGGAAGAACATCGTTCGGGGGCTGGTATTCTCGTCGAAGTACGCATATGGTATGAGCGATGCGACATCTCAGTCAGCAGGAGAAAGACCGCTGCTTTCGATATCGCCGCGAAATGCGTCGATGTTTAAACCTACATCCCACCTCTTCTTCGCCGGCGATTTGAATTACCGGACTTCGACCATGTCTCCCTCGCCCACCGATCACAAAGATACCTTTCCGCAGCCGTATCACGGCAAGTCTTCGCCAAACCACTATTCCAAACTCTTTGAAAACGACCAGTTGAATCAAGAGCGCTTAGCAGGACGGACATGTCACGGTTTGACAGAAGCGCCCGTAAGATTCCCCCCTACATACAAGTACAAGCTCCAAGATCCATTCATGACGCCCGACGACGAGTTGTCCAAGTGGCACTGGGCGCCTCACCGGTGGCCCTCGTGGTGCGACAGGATACTCTACCTCGATCTCCCGCCCTGGGTCAAGCGCAGCCACCCAGACGCCAAAATCATCGTACGTCAGTACTCGGCCCTCCCACTCCTGCCGACTACGGATCACAGGGGAGTTGCACTTGAGGTTTCCGTCCCACTGCTGCCGATCCCGCCGCCGCGGGAGGATGAAGAAGGCGATGATCCGCGCATCAGGCCGCCGTTTGAGGTCCATGTGGACTGGAAGCGGAACCGGGAGCGGGCGCGGATGATGGAGTTGGTGGTGGGGTTTGCCATGTACTTCACGACGACGAAGGAAGGGGGTGCCATTGCGGTGGCCATGGTTGTGGGGGTGGCGGGGGCCTTTTACGCTCTCCAGACGAGCTGGGAGATGTGAAGAGGGGGAGATGGGGTTGGAGTCTTGGGAGGGGGGGTTGGGGGGTTTGTGGTAGAGCGTATGATATCCCAGGTGGGCTTTAATTAGTACTACTGCGTAACATGTGACCGTAAGCAAGGCCATGATGGCTCTGCAATAGGCCTCTAGGTGTGATTCCGAGAGATGTCAACAGCGCAGCCCAGCAAGTGGCTGTCCGTGCTATCTCTCGGCTCTGCAAGGGAGGAGGTACCGGTAGGTACGCAGTATCTGTAGCGTGAAAGCGCAGTCACGTGGATAGATAGATCGACGGTGGGTCAGGCCGTGCCTCGCCAGCCGCGGATAAGTCGAGAAGGTGGTGGTGAATCGTGATGGGGCTCTTGCGCACCGATGTTTACCCCTTCACTACTGTAGTGTTATCTTTTGCGGGTACCTGCCGATCAGGACGGGAATGGGGGAAACCGGGGATCGGGGATCGGGGATCGGAAGAGTTGATCCGTTTGATGATGAATGTTTTTGTTTGATTTGCGTGCTGGCTGGGTCCTTCCTGTTTCAATGGATTGGTGAGCGGGTGTTCTGCTGTTGCTCTTCCGAACGGATCATATGACAAGGTTCACGGGAAAAGGGGGTGGGACACGTTGACATACTACGTACGTAGTACGTAGTAGTACGTAGTAACATGACATGACATGCATACGGGAGGCGGGCTGGATGGGTTCCTCCGTACGCGGTAAGTACAGTACAGTCAGTACAGTACAGTACAGGAAGTAAGGATGTGGTCATTGGCCCGTCCCAACTGTCCCTGAGCCCGGATAGAGCTTTGGCCTTGCTTGATCTGGCCTGGCCCGGCCGTGCCCGTCTCGCGACTATGACTGGCACTAGTCCGTACTGCGTAGTATTTCGGATCCCAGTACACGGATAAATTACGTAGGATTTGCGACGGGGGATGATCATACGGTACTGGATTCGTAGTAGTATATCCATGGTCAAGGAATCGGATATTGCATATACTACGTAGTAGTACTCTCCCCATGAAGACATATCGAAAGTATAATTTTGCGAGGGATCGTACCAGGTGTTGAACCGATGGACTTAGTAGTACTACTACTACGTACAAGTACACAGCACTTCAGGGTTCATTCAAGTGTTGAAAAGTAGTAGTAGCACTACGTACTAGCACTAGTATCTTTAAGCCCGTCTGTAGTCTGTGCAATGGAGTTGACCGGGCTTTGAGCCATTCAGAAGTCACCGCTCTCCGATTTATGGGGCTCAACTGGGTCGGACGAGCATTGGCAGAAGCTTACTCTGGACAGTATGAAAAGGGGGTGGGTACCTGTAGCTGGGTTGCCACTTGGCGTGATGAGGCGGTGGGGCTTGGTGATTGCTTGCAGGAGGAAAAGAACAGAAAAAGGGATTGGTGACCGGACCGCTCGTTCGTCTCCCGTTCGTCCCCCTTTGTACAACGTAGCAGTAGGTAGTAGTAGTACTACTATGGTGCATGCACTATACTCTGTACTCGGTACGTAGTACGTAGTATATGCCGGATAGCGGTAGGGGCTTCTGTCTTGCATCCTCTGCATGTGTCCTCGACTAGTAGTAAGTAGTAGTAAATACTACTACTAGGTACAGTAGGTAGCAAATAATCTAAAATCCCACCGGATCACACCGGGGTGGATCTGCTCTGCTCTGCTCTGCTCTTACCCAATCCAATCCAATCCAATTCAATTTTGTCGATGCAACACTAATACTAACTTCAACACCAACCCAGCTCTATACTCCAAACTTCAACCTACTACGCAGGATCGCGGATGTAAAACTCCAACGGTACACCACTGCTACCGGTACTACGACGACGACGACCCTACCATCCGCAGACCACGGCACCCTTCCCTCCCCCGACTGAAACTCGGCGGACTCTTGGCCACAGCGCTTAAAGTCCCGGCCCGCAATTGACATTGGTGCCTCGCTCCGCTTCTCCACCCGACGGACCATCACAATAATCATTCCTGATCGACAACCCTTCAAGAAGCAACACTCAAAACCGAACCAGACCCAGGGCAGCACTTCTCGCTCGTCTCTTTCTCCTTCTCTCTCTCCTTCTCCTTTTCTTCCCCTTCCCCTTCTCCTGCTCCCTCGTTCGGCGTCCGTCTGCTCTCACGCCGCCATCTCCACCAGCGCCTCCAAACATGTTGACTTTCAAGAGAGCTCTGGTAGCAGCGGCCTGCCTCGTCACCATGCTCTTCCTCGTCAATCGATCCCACAGTCCCTCCCCCGCCGACACATTCACTCCCCAGACCGCCGACTCGTCACACATCGCTGCCGGCTATACCACGCAGACCGCCTACACCCAGAAGACGCCCGGGTCGAGCGGCGGCCGTATGGTCAAGGGGCACAAGCCCGGGGGCCAGCAGATCCTGAAAGACATGTCGCAGGCCTCGCTGTCCGAGAGACTCGCCTACCAGTTCCCCTACGACGTCGAGACCAAGTTCCCCGCCTACATCTGGCAGACCTGGAAATACACCCCGGCCTCGGCCGACTTTGGCGAGAACTTCAGACCGGCCGAGGCCTCGTGGACCGAGAAGCACCCAGGCTTCATCCACGAGGTGATCACAGACCAGGTCGCGGTACACCTGCTGCGACACTTGTACGCGTCGGTGCCGGAGGTGTTGGAGGCGTATGCCGCGCTGCCCCTGCCCGTGTTGAAGGCCGATTTCTTCCGCTACCTCATCCTGCTGGCCAGAGGAGGCATCTACTCAGACATCGACACCCACGCCTTGAAATCCGCTTCCGAGTGGCTGCCGGAGAGCGTGCCGCGGCAGGCGATAGGACTGGTGATCGGAATCGAGGCGGATCCGGATCGGGAGGATTGGGCGGACTGGTACTCCCGACGGATCCAGTTCTGCCAGTGGACCATCCAGGCGAAGCCGGGCCACCCGGTCCTGCGGAGCATCGTCGCGAATATCACCCAGGAGACGCTGAAGAAGCAGAAGCTGGGAACCTTGAAGGGCCTCAAGGATACCCAAGTGATTGAGTTCACGGGGCCGGCGGTGTGGACGGACATCATCTTCGACTTTATGAATGACAAGAAGTACTTTGATATGAGCAACAGCAAGCAGAACATTACCTGGAGGGAGTTCACAGGTATGACAGCTGCGAGGAGGGTCGGGGATATAATGGTGCTGCCCATCACCAGTTTCAGTCCGGGTGTAGAGCAGATGGGAGCACAAGACTATGACGATCCCATGGCTTTTGTGAAGCACGAATTCGAAGGTACACCGCCGGGCCTCCCCTCACTCGTCTCTTGCCATCAAATGACACATCTAACCAGCTACAGGTACATGGAAACCCGAGGAATTGCGACACATCGGTATCACCAACGACCCGAACGATCCCAATAATCCCGCCTATGACATGGACCGACCGCCCAGTCAGTAGAGAACGACGGCCCAAAATGGTCCGAGCCTCCTCCTTCGGACTTCACTGTATATTTTCACCAGCCTCACCAAAAGTTTTCTTCCGCATCACACGGCGTTCTTCAACATTCCAGCATGGGTGGCGTATTGCTTTCTCTGAAATGCCACGGCAAGCAGCAGGCTCCCCTCGTATCTCTCTCGCTTGTCTAATAGATATTTGGTGATGGTTGACCATCGTGGCTCGGAGAGCTCGTGGTTACGAATATAGACTAGGGTGGACGCGATAGTGCTGTCCTACCTAGCAGGTGTCTGGGTCTCTTTTATGTACTCCTCTCAGATGGCATTAATACACTTGTATAGCGATGGCTGGGATGGCTGGTTGGCGGTTGGCTTGCTCGCAGAGGGGGCGGACAGGTACATCCGAGAGAACACGAGTTTTTCAAGAGCTGAAATCTTGTTCAGATGGTTGGATTGTGGGGGGGGGGAACTCTGTTCTGCTGATTGCGCCTCTTACAGAACAGTGCGCCCTGGGTTCCTGAGCGGGGGAAGAAAGGAAAACGGCGGATCTGCAGAGGAGGGAAGTGCAGGGGATATAATAACGTAGAGAAATTAGTGATTTCATCTAATGGGAACACACGGTATAGCGTACCTCATCGACCAACTTCCGCATCCCCTTGCTTCTACTCTACGGAGTAGTTTTTATCCGACGTGAAAGGCTTGTTGAGTTTGAGTTTTTGAGTTTTGAGTTTTTGAGTTTGCGAGTCGACGTCTGCAAGTTTTGCAACGAACGCTTCTGCTCCGCTTTTGCTCCTCAGTCGATAAAGCTTGCTTGGATCTTGGTAGTCCAGTAGTACTTAGTGCAGTAGTAGGTACAAGTAGTAGGTACAAGTACAGTACGTAGTAAGCTCTTGACTTTGGATCGTCGTCGTCGGATCTATCTATTAAGTAGTAGTAGTAGTAGTACCCTCCCCCCCCATGAATAAATGTCGGACCCAGTTTAGGCCCATAAATCATAGAGCGGTGGTTTCTTAATGGCTCAAAGCCCTGTCAACTCCACTGTATAGACTAAATACTGG